AAAAGAGGGCAATTATAAGTTAAATGAATGGCTAAGAAAAATGTTTTAGCGTGTTTGCGCAATATTTTTAGCTAATTGGTATTTATTCATTTTGTAATAGTTTGAAATGTTCTTGCATTTTGAACAGAAAAGTAGCACAAGGACAGCTCATCAATGTTTCTTTAGCTGTCGCGTTGCCATTACTATAGGAGACCAGAGACACAGATTTCGTCGCCATTTTCATTTTACGCAAAAAAAAAAAACAAAAAAAAAAAAAAAAGAAAAAAGGAAAAAAAGAACTTTTTCGTCCTTTGGTTAATTTTTTCTGTGTATCTTGAGAGAAATTCGCAAGAGCCATGTTTTTTTTTTGTTGCAAGGAGGATTTTATTGTCTTTTGACGGGTGATTACAGTAGATATTCTGCATTTATCTCTCTCAATTGCTCTCATTTATTCCCTCTCATTCTACTGGAATATTAACGTGCATGCTGTAGAAAAATGAAATAAATGTCTTTCAAATAAACACCAACCTTATCTTTCTCCCCCCTCTCTCTCTATCTATATATTTCAGTCCATTCTTTCGTATCTATCTATCTATCTATCTATCTATCTATCTATCTATCTATCTATTTTAGCCCATTCTTTCTTATCTATCTATCTATCTATCTATCTATCTATCTATCTATCTGTTGTGGGGCTCTCCCCTTTTTACATAAGATGGACTCGTCCAAAGTATACTTATACTGACAGAGAGAATACCCGCTGTTGAGCTACGTCGAGATACAGTCCCTGTCACACTCTCTGCTTTGGCAGAGAGGAACCCGGGCGAAGCATTGCCGAAGGGCAAGGTCTCGTCCGGAGAGGTAGACATGCCCGGAACCCGGGTTCAAAGGGTATATTTTTGGTCGAGCCTACGGGCTCGGAGGAACCCACTTTAAACTCGGCCTTGTGCCACATATATTCCTCGTGGGTGGGATATTAAACACCGAGATACGTTGAGATACAGTCTCTGACTGTCTGGGGAAGTAGACAGGTGCCTGAACCCGTTTATGCGGGTTCAAAGGGGATATTTTTTGGATGAGCTTTACGCACTCGGAGAAATCCACGTTAAACTCGGCCTTGTGCTATATACATTCCTCGTGGGTGGACGGTTAAATATCGAGATACGTCGAGATACAGTCTCTGACTGTGCGACGTCTGTCGAAATCTCTGCTTTAGCAGAGAGGAACCCGGACGAAGGTTTGCCGAAGGGCAAAGTTTCGTCCGGGGAGGTAGACAGTTCCCGAACCCGCTTATGTGGGTTCAAAGGGGAAATTTTTTGGCTGAGCCTACGGGCTCGGAGAAACCCACGTTAAACTCAAAGCTGTATTCTTACGTTCAATACACTTATTTTTCTATCTCAATTACTGGCGTTGGTTATTTATTTGTGCAGGATTCCATTCACAGAATCCACAACACTATCTATCTATGTCACTACCTTCTTTCTTATCTATCTATCTATCTATCTATCTATCTATCTATCTATCTATCTATCTATCTTAGTCCATTCCTTCTTATCTATCTATCTATCTATCTATCTATCTATCTATCTATCTATCTATCTATCTTCGTCCATTCCTTCTTATCTATCTATCTATCTATCTATCTATCTATCTATCTATCTATCTTAGTTCATTCCTTCTTATCTATCTATCTATCTTAGTCCATTCTTTCTTATCTATCTATCTATCTATCTATCTATCTATCTATCTATCTATCTATCTATCCCAGTCTCTTGATAACTATCTCAGACTTTATATATCTACTGCACTCTGGGGTACATCGCGTTTGTTGATCTTAGTCTCGCTGAACACCTTTTTAGCAAATGCTTAAGGATTATTGTAAAATGATCTGTCGTTTTTTTTCTTTCGACGTTTTCTTTGGTTCTCAGCTCTAGAGATCACTAAGATCCTTTCTTTAATATCCTTAAGCAGGTCCTTAAGGGCTGCCCTTTCATCAGTTGTAGCTCCTTGCGTCGGCACTTCACAACTCTCTGCTCTGCTCTTAGCCTACCCTTCTGAATCTGCCATCTATTTGGTCGCGTCTCTTCTTTCCTTCCCCCTCTTGCAGTTGCAACACCAAACCATTCACGACAAACCTCGTGCACAAGTCTGCAGAAAGATCTGATCTGAAGGCTAATTGGGGCCCTTTACGTTGTCCGTAAGTATTAATGAGAGTTCCTGATCGTGATTCGGCCAAGTAGACCATGATTGCCTCTGGGCCATTGCATTCTTGGCTTGCTTGGAATTTCTCCAGGCTGCTGACGCTCAGGAATGGGATCCTTAATATATATATATATATATATATATATATATATATTTCTAACGTATTAATGGATTTATTTTTAATCCGACATTATGATTATTACTTGGAACGTCTTCTTAAGTGTCCACTATAATAATAACGTTTGCAGGTTTACAGGATGCGATGGATAAATTGTCGTCTAAATGACGCAAAAATGATAATAACACTGACATTTCACTTTAACAGATGTATTTACCAAAATAACACAAAAATATCTTGAAATACTAAAGAGTAAATTTATGCAATGAAATCGCCATTGACTTCAATCACGGCCTTCAGACAACTTTGGAATATCAGTGCGCAACTCTTCTAGACTGTCTCCTTGTTTAAATTGGTGAATGCTGCCATAATCCTTGCCTTTAATTCATCTTTGGTGTTACAAGTAATTTTGTTGGTCTCTCTCTCAACTGCGTCCCACGCATCAAGGGGCTTTCAGTTTGGGGAGGTAGGTGTCCATATATAAGGGATGATGTGGCCGTAGAAATTGTCTGTCAGCCATGATTGCGTTCTCCTGCTTGTGTGGCATGAGTCCTATTGCCAGACATAGGGTCTTCCATCAGCCACCCTCCTAGCCCAGGGAAAAGCTACATCCTCAAGACATTTGATGTAGGTCTCCGAGTCGAGCCTGAGGCCCTGTGGAAAGATGAATGTAGCTATAACGTCACTAGTGATCACTCTAAAAATCATGAGGTTGAATGGATATATCATCCAACTCTTGGGGCACCTCGTGGCGGTGTAATGGTTAGCAAGCTTGGCTCGCTAGAACAATTACGACTGAGTAGTGAGTTCGATCCTCACTGGGTGCCCCCTAATTTAGGCTTTGTGTCATATCTAATCTACGCTTGGAAACTCACTATATCATCCAACTCTTTCCGTATCTTCTGCATTATCCTCAAATTGACATCCAAACACTTTGAAATGTTCGTATTGGAGGTTCCGGTGTGAATGCCAAGCAGTACAGCAGGCTTTCTCCAAAGTTTTAGTGGATTGAATTGCGTCATGGTGTACTCCTTCTCACAGACGGTGCCCAACTGACCCTACTATACTGTGCAGTCGACAGAATCAAAAACAAAGAAAGCATGTGCGGAATTAAAAATATAAAAGAGTGACAATTTACCCATCGCAACCTATATATATATATATATATATATATGAAGAAAAACAGACCACTTTAAGGCTCCATTGTAATTTTTTTATTTCACCAGAGTTTTTAAAGTACCCTGGATCTTCAGACACCACTTTCAAAAGGTGAAAGTGATGTCTAAAGACCCAGGGTACTTTAAAAGGTCTCTGGGGAAATAAACTATTACAATGGAGCCTTAAAGTGGTCTGTTTTACTTTTAATTATTATCTCTGAATTTACATTGAGCTCTCAGGATTCCATCCTCCTTGGGACTTCCATACGGATTACCAAGTTTTTCGTTACGTATATATATATATATATATATATATATATATATATATATATATATATATATGAAGGGCGCAGAAAAATCTCTGTCCAGTTCGTTTAACAAAATCCGAGGTACGAAATAAATGACGAAAAAGAATTTTGAAGAAAATTCTTCGTCTTCGGTGCGAGAACTTTTTGGGTAAACTCTTATATTCGGTGCGAGCAAAAATTTGTAATGCTTCTTTTAATGAAAAGAAAAGATACTGAAAAAAAGAAAAAGGTTTTTCTATTATATATTCGGTCTTTAATTTTCCACATACGGAGGACGCTGTAAACCTTTGCGCACAGATAATATATAAACGCACATTGTCATGCTAATAAACACTCAACAGTCTATATACATAGACACCCACCCACATACACACTGATATAAACATAGACAAACAGTGATATAAATATAGACACACACACGCTGATATAAATATAGACACACATATACAGATATAAACATAAGACTCACTCACACTGATATAATCACAGACACACACTCACTCACTGATATAAACATAGACACAGATATACACTGATATAAAAATAGGCACACACTGATATAAACATTACACACACACACGCTGATATAAATATAGACACACATATACCGGTATAAACATTCACTGAAATAAACACAGACACACACATACACAGATATAAACGCAGACACACACATACACAGATATAAACACAGACACACACCTGCAGATATAAACAAATATACACACATACAATGATATAAGAATAGACATACACTCACACTGATATAAAAATAGACAAACATACATTGATATAAACATAGACACACATATACACTGATATAAAAATATACACACACACACAAACTGATATAAAAGTACGTACATGAACTCCCATTGTTGGGATAATTATCAGATATGCGTTAATCATTCACATACACGTCTACGTCTGGTTATTGGCATATCGATGATTCATTTATTGATTAGGTGCCAGTGATTACCGCTGTCACTAAACGGTTTCAAACGTTGCAAGAATAATGGGACTGGATTGAAGACGAGGAAGCTGGGACACTTTTAAGGAAGGCAGTTAGTCGCCATTGGTTGGTTGAGAACGAGGCAGAAGCAAAAGGGCCATCAATATGGCTGGTTGAGTGGTAGCATATGGCTATTAATTGCATCTGGAATTGTAGAAGGGTTGTAAGAGAAAATCTCTGGAGGGGAATTGGGTTGAGATTGACCGCATAACACAGAGGTTGTTTCATGCAGTGGGGGTGGCATTAATCGGGAGAGGAAGACGAATAAAGATGTCCATACGCACGTTTGCAAGTGAATTGTGCAGAGAGAGAGAGAGAGAGAGAGAGAGAGAGAGAGAGAGAGAGAGAGAGAGAATGGGTGCGTTAAAGACATCGTGGAAGAAAGTCAGTTTCAAAGGAAATATAGAGAAAGAAAAAGACGGGGAAGAAGGAGAGAGGAAGAAAGAGATAAATTGAAGGGAAATAGGAGGAAAGAGAGATATAAGAAAGATTGACTAGGTGAAAGGAGGGGCAAAGAGAGGAGATATGGGAAAGGGAAAGAGAAAAAGGATGAGAGACTAAGGAGATGGAAGGAGAAATTGAAGAGATATGGAAAGATAGCGAAAGAGAAAAAGAAATATAAAGCAGGTGGACAGAAAAAGAGTGAAAGTAAAAGGAGATTAAAGAAAGAAGAAAGAAAGATGTAAGAATGAGGCAAAAGAAACGCTGATGTGATACAGAAGACGAAAGGGGTTTTAAAAGAAGGAAAATGAAGAAAGATTGCGAAAAAAAAAAAAGAGATTGAAAGAAAAGAAAAAAAATGAGAGAGAAAGAGATCCGAAAAAAGAAAATATACAAGAAGGAGATATGATCAAATATAAAAGAAGCGAATGGAATAAGTTGGAAGGGAAGTAAAAGGAAATATTTAAAAAAACAAACAAAAAAACAAAAACAAAACAGGCGTAACAAAAAGAGATGAAAAGAAAATGAAGGACGATATGATAGCGGAGAGGGGAAGAAATGTCTAACAAAAAGTGAATAAATTTACTAGAATGTTGAGACAAAAAAAAAAAGAAAAAAAGAAAAGTGTTATGAAAAGTGCAAGAAAGAGAGTGTAGAATAAAGAGAGAAAAGAGAATAAAAACGAAGAGAGCAGAGATAAATAATGAGAGGGGGATGATAGCGGGAAGAAAGAAAGCGATAGAAAAGAGATAAAAAGAAATGGAAATATGAGCGAAAGAAAGAAAAAATGAACGAATGGAAAAAATGAAAGAAGGGAAAAAATGACGAAAGAAATGGAAGGAAGTGGTAGTGGAAAGGACGAAAAAGAGTGAAGAAATGAAAAAAAAAGCAAAGAAAATGAGGGAGAGACAGAACGTCGAGAAAAAAAGAAACAAATAAAGGATGAAGTAAAAGGAAGAAAATGGAAAAAGAAGGAGAAGAAAGAAAGTGAGAGAGAAAGAAAGAAAATGAGAGATAAACAGAAGTGGTGATGGAAAAAGGCAGAAAAAGAAAAGGAACATATGAAAAGAGCAAGCAAGAAAGAAAGAAAGAAAGAAAGAAAGAAAGAAAGAAAGAAAGAAAGAAAGAAAGGGAAATATTAAAGAAAGAAAGAAAGGGAAATATTAAAGAAAGAAAGAAAGAAAGAAAGAAAGAAAGAAAGAAAGAAAGAAAGAAAGAAAGAAAGGGAAATATGAAAATAACAATAGAGTAAGAAAGTAAGTAAGAAAGAAAGAAGCGGAAATATGTAAAGAGAAAGAAAAAAAGAAAGAAAAAAGAAAGAAATAGCGAAAGAAATTGAAATATGAAAAGAGCAAGAAGGAAAGGAATAAATAGAGAAAGAAAGAAAGGGAAATATGAAAAGAACAAGAAAGAAAGAAAGAAAGAAAGAAAGAAAGAAAGAAAGAAAAAAAGAAAGAAAGAAAGAAAGGGAAATATGAAAAGAGCAAGAAAAAAAGAAAGAAAGAAAGAGAGAGAGAAAGGGAAGTATGAAAAGAGCAAGAAAGAAGGAAATAAATGAAGAAAGAAAGAAAGAAAATAATTAAAAAACCGGAAAGAGAGAATGAAGATGAAGAAAATAAAGGGATAGGTAAGTGAAAGAGAGAGAGAGAGAGAGAGAGAGAGAGAGAGAGAGAGAGAGAGAGAGAGAGAAGAAGAAGAAGAAGAGATGAAAGCTAAGAAGAATAGATGGTCATATACAATATCTCAGGAAGGGAACTCAAAAAAAAAAAAAAAAAAAAAAAGAAAGATTTATAGAACAAATCAAAAAAGGGAACTAAATAGAACAAAATGGAAGCGAAAAGACAAGAGAGGTCAAATGAACGTAACGAGAAATATTGATGAGTAGCAATTTGAAATCGTAGTGTTCGATTTGAAAATGTACAAAGAGATTCTTTCTTTCAAAATCGATCGGTGAGAGGTAAGGTATCATTAGACGCATTTCGCTGGCCTAACGCATAAGATCAAACGAGATCAAACGTGACTTGGGTTTCAGTTACTCGAAGAGTTGGTTTTTACTAACTGGATCCAGTTGCAGCCTTTCTCACGCTCAGCGTCACTCACCTGTCCACACACCTACACAGTAACTTGTCACGCATACTTACATGCACGTATACCCCCAAGTAAAACGTTTCTTTTAGATTATCTAGTAAATACGTTGAGTCTTGAATCGAAGTAGCCATATTCGAACCCATGAATTCAATGATATAATCGTTCAAAAGAAATCACTTTCGTTATTCCTTATCGTTTTTGCATTGCTTCGTTTTGAACGTAGGTTATTGGGTTATATAAGACATTGCCTACTTTTGTACATTTAATAAACGAAATTCTCTAAGGTTTGATAAAAATAAGACTGGATGCTGTCCGTTTATGGTCTTGGGTTTTATAAATCTATGAATTATAATCATCAGAGCGTATTTAAGAAAGCTGGTTAGAGGCTGATGACTACCCATTTCACTCCAACACATGATCAGCCATGCACTTCGATCCAGTTCACAATGGAAAAATAAAATAATAATCAATTAGCCTACCTGGATATTCTAATAAGCCGCACTAGAATGGGTTCAAAACATACTGATATCACAAGCCAACCATCACCGGATACTAACTCAATCCCATCATGCATACAGTGTGAAGAACAGGGATCGTTCGATGCCTATAAAATCGGGCAAAACGTACCTTTCAGAATAACAACTACCCGGCAAACTTGACATCAAAATGTACACGTGGGAGCAGAAGGAACACGAATATAACCGGAACATGACCACGGTCTCTCCATTGTTTACCGGAAAAAATTTCAGATCTGCGGTTCATACAACATCAGGACATTATACAGAAGCATTTCTACTCTACGGAGAAATCTCTGCCGCGTAATGCACTAAAACGAGGGAGATATGACTAAGATCTGCATGTCCACTATTTCTTGCAGTTTTGGCAGAGAATATAAAAAGGAAACATGCCACCCTCTAAAAGTCACTGAAGGCTCATCGAGCTGTATTGAGAGGTGAGACAATGTAATCAGGCATGGCTGATTATGTATGGAAGGAAAGGAGTTTTCATTCGCTCCTGTGGAATACTGGACAAGGAAGAACAATGAAGAGCTATACGTCTTAAAGAATCTGCGTATAAGCTAAGTCTAGTATAGAAATAAATAATATAGGGGAGCCAGTAATAATGTAAGAAAAATGACCGCATGTCTTCAACCGCAGCACGAACAGCAGCAATCAAATCATGGACCTCAAGACATAACAGTTAGCAGCAGCAGTTGCAACATAATCAGCAGCTAGGTTAAGTTTTAAGGCTCTAAGTTTACTATAGCAAATTATCTTATAGGACATGGATAAAAGCGATAGTTTGTGAATTTGGTGACATAGTGGTTACATGTTCAATCTTTGCGCGTACTTGCAAGCAGTGGAAATTGAAAAGTACTAAATAAAAAAAGAACTAGATTATACGAGCAATGGAAAAAGAGCAGTCTACCCACCTTTAAACAAAGGGTTCAGTTCAGAATTCCCAGTAGGTTACCCAAATAAATACTTGAGGAAGGTTGAAACGTTGTGGTAAAAACAGTAAAAATGAGGAGAATAGTTTGTTCATATCTATCTATCTATGAATATTGGACAAGCTGAAAGAATCCCCTTCATAAGACCCTTAAACCCAAACACTACCACGCAGATACTGAGATACCCAAAACAAATGATCGAACCAAGTAGATGCATGCAGATGCAAATATAATGAACCAATAATCAACAATCTTGAAGCAAATAGACAAATAATAATAATAATAATAAATGGTATGAACACCACCCAGACCCGGTTACGGAGATAGGACCTGTTACAATTCTGTGGGACTACACAATACACACTGACAGAACAATCAAAGCCAACCGCCCAGATATTGTGATTAAGGACCACAAACAAAAAAAGTGCCTCCTTATTGATATGGCAGTCCCTGCAGACTGCAATGTATTGTTGAAGATATTCAAAAAGATGTCAAAATACAAGGACCTTGAATTAGAAATCTCAAAAATGTGGCACATGGAAACATCAACAATCCCCGTTGTAGTTGGAGCCCTACGATTGGTTGGAAAAGATTCCAGTAGACTAATTGAAGGGATTCCTGGAAGTCCATGCATCAAAGAGATACAAAAAGTTGTTCTGAAACGTACAGCCCACACTTTACGAAGGGCTTTATCCATGTAATTCTTTTTTTTTCTTAGTGGAAAGTGTCATGATTCCATTTCTAACATTAGGCCCCTGGGCGGGACCCGGAAAGAAATGTGTAAACGCCAGAAATCAAAGAAAATAAAAAAATAATAATAATAGATTTTGGCATTAAGTAACCCTACAAGCGCGGACAAGTAATAAAATCAATCAAATTCGCCTATCTATCTATCTATCTATCTATCTATCTATCTATCTATCTATCTATCTATCTATCATGATGGAAAGTAAAATTACAACATTTTGAAAGACGGCCCCAGTCTGCAATCTACAAGGATTATAAATATTTGGGCAAAATTTTTCTTGTGACGCAGATAGTTTCATGTCGGTGCACAACAGTTTTGGAAGGTGACACGTGTGATGAAACTCGTTGTCGGGAAATGTCTCGTGCCCCCAGGATTTTGAGCATATATCCCTAGCAGTCGTTTTCTTGGGTGAGGACTACGCCTGACTCAAATGGACTTCTCCTTACGCCTTATATATAAGCTGGGGGCATTTAAACGTTCTCGCCTCACTCCACTTTCCCGAAAATGTGTTTTTACACACACACACACACACACACACACACACACACACACACACACATATATATATATATATATATATATATATATATATATATGTGTGTGTGTGTGTGTGTGTAAATTCTCAACACGTGGCTATGAACAGCACCTAATCAGGGAACAAATAAATAAAGTAATTTCTACACCTAGAGAAGACACCCTAATGTATAAAATTAAAAATAAATCCAGATGCATCCCTCTAGTAACCACTTTCAACATCAATCTTCCTACACTACCTCAGATAATGAAAAGTCGCTGGGAAATACTACATCTCAAACGAAACCGAAAAATTTTCTCTGAGGAACCCGATCTTCTAGCATATCATAGACTTAAGAAGCTTAAGGAAATTATAGGTAGTAACCAAATTTCAGATGATAAGGTAACCCGTAACAGACCAAAAATGAAAACAACAGGATTTTGCTAATTATGTAACAACAAAAGGAGCGTATGCTGTAACCACATTAGACACACCAATTCGTTCATTAGCTCACTCACTAAATCTACTTTGAAAATCTACCATCACTCTAACTGTAGAAGTCATAATATAGTTTACCTATTAAAATGCACACTATGCCAGAAACAATATATGGGGTAATCTCAATGGCCCTTTCACTATAGAATCAATAATTATCGGAATTGGATCATGTCGGCTTCCCACAAAAGATTATTATCTGTAGAACAACATTTCTGCCTAGAAAAAACATGATTGTAAAAGCCATGCTAAGTTCACTGGAAGTGAAAAAATAGAAATAGACAGAAAAGATAATGTTAGAAAAATATTAGAAGGACATGAAGACAAATGGATTTTGCGCCTCAAAACACAGATGGGCTTAACCACAAATTTAACAACATAGATAGAATTAATATATAATCCCATAAATGAAACCCTACCCACATTTCTCATCCCCACATGACATACATGCTTGAAGAGGTGTTGATGTTTCACACTTCTACACACACTCATACCAATATATAAACTCACACACATCATACACACTCCCAAATAATTAAAATATAATATAAAATTAACACACATATCCCCCTCCCAGCAACCAATAAAACTGACCGTATGACCAAAAAGGGAAATCTGCTACTCATGAATCACCCCACATTCATATCAAATAATTTAATTTATAAAGTTTTCTTATTGGTTTTTGCACATTGCAACATTATGCAATGGTGGAGAAATATTGAATGGATTTCAAGTTTTTTTCATAAGTTAAAACTATGTTAATTAAAAAAATTCCCTCCCTCTTTCTCCACACACACACACACACACACACACATACACACACACATATTTTACAGAGTGCGATGGATAAATTATCGTCTATTCGTCAAAGGAAAATAACACTGACAGTATAATACTTGAGATGAATTTGTACTTCGCAATTTGCTGCAAATCCATCTTAAGTCATTATTTTATTTAATTTATTTGTTTTTGTATTAAATTAATTTCACCAATGCATCAAGTCTTTTTCTCAGAAGTAAAGTTGACAAACATTGAAATTTCACAACAGTCAGTTTTCAATTTTTGCTTGACAAATCTCCAAGCATGAAATTCAGAGCGAAATCAAACCGTGATGAGCAAATATATATTTATTATTAGGATATACATACATACATACATACATGCATACATACATACATACATACATACATATTTAAATGTTACCAGTATCTGAGATTGATATCCTTGTATTTAAATAGTCTACAGAGATTTGTGCATGCTAGTGCCTTTAATAAGGAGAATCTGCTTTTCAGCAGGGTTCGAACGTGCACTTCACAGCTATAGATTGTTCTGCCTTTAACCCATTAAAATAGCACCATTATTGTAAGAAAAAATCGTCGAAATCTGTTTATATTTTGTATATATATATATATATATATAGTGTGTGTGTGTGTATTTAGGAAGCATTTTTTCATTGATGCATGCTTCATTAAATAATGTAGACAAGTGCTGTCTCTTTATTTTATGTAAATTCTTTTCATATCGTCTGATAAGCTTAATAACATTATCATTAAACGAAGAAAGAAAATCACAATACTGATACATATTTTTTAATCTTATCTAAGCTTTCGAATTATATAAGCCATTATCAAAGATGGCAATTGCATTACAATATATTAAGCAAAACACGGACAAAACAATGAT